GGGGTTGCCCGGGGCTCCCTTTCTATTTCCGTCCCTCCACATCGCGTTTCTGGGAGGCCTCCGGGGCGGTTTTGTTTTCTTGCTCTCGTCTATTTTTATTTTCCTGGGATCTGACTCATCCCGTGCTTTGGGCGTGGAGATAAGGTGGAGGGGCCGGGTCTCGGCGCGCCCCTGCGTGTGCGCGCGTGTGTGTTTGTGCGCGCGGGGGTCTGTGCACGCGCGTGCGTGCGTGTGTGCGACTCGGCCCGAGCGCGCAGGTCCCCACGGCCGCGGGAGTTTCGGGAGCCGCCCGCTCAGCGTGACGCGTTCAGGCCCCGTCCCCTCCTTCTCCACTCCCCGCCCCGTCCCCACCCCGGGTGACGCGCGCGGCGGAGTGAAAGAGGTTTTGGCGGGCGGGGAGCGGCTTGGCAGGAAACTGAGTCATCACCAGTCGCAGCCGCTGTCCCGGGCCCTGCCCACGCGCCTCCGCCCCGCGCGGGATTTCCTGGAGCCCGGCGCCCCCTCGCGGCCTCTGCGCGAGGAGCCGACCCTCCTGCCCGCGGAGTGACCGCTGTCCTTGCACATCGCAGGGTCGCACTCCGCCCAAGAAAGAAGACCCCTACAGAGCGGTGCATAGCGATCCACTCCTGTAATCCCAGTGCTCTGAGAGGCTGAGGCAGGAGGATAGCAATTCAAGCCCAGCCTGGACAATTTAGTACTGATCAACATGAGAGAGTCGTGTTCAGTCCTGGAACACAGGACCTAGGGCAAACAAGGCTGGGTTCGAATCCTGCCTGTGCCGCCTGTGAGCTGTGTGACCTTGGACAAGTTATTTAACTTCTCTGAACCTTGGTACCTCTCCTGTAAAAAGGAGTTGTAAACTGCTTGCAAACTATAAATGCATCCCGATGCCTGCGCTGATGAGCATGGCCCGAGGTTTGGGGGCGGGGCTCTGTCTGCTGCCCTGGGTGACCTCTTTATGGGACAGTGGACCTTGGCCCGGTTACCTGCTTGATTTAGAGGAAAGTCTCCTAAGCTCTCCACGCCCCTGCCCCTGAAGCCTGCTGTGCAGCCTGGGTGTGTTTGCCCTGAAAACGCAGACCGTTCCAATGTCCTGCAGCTTCTCATCCTCGGGGTCAGCCCAGGCCCGGCAGAGCAAGCGGCCCAGAACCCCGCTGTCTCGCTGTTGGGAATAGCTAGGGATCAGGGCGGACAGGCAGCGCCAGGCTCGGCCGGCCAAGCTGCCCTGGTGGAGGGGAGGAGCCGGGTAGACAGCAGCCTCTAATTTTCTGTACCTGCAAAACGGGTTCCTGGGACCGGAGGGCTGGGGCTGGGAGGCGTCTAGACTTCGGATCACCTGACACGCCTGGCAGGGTGCGGCTCAGGAGTGCTGGCCTTGCCCTGCCCGGCCCAGCCCCTCCTGTCCCTGAGGCCACCCGCCTGATGACACCTTGGGAAAGGCCCTCAGCCTTCAGCACCTGTCAGCTGCCGTCTGCAGAGGGTGGCGCAGAGCCCTGGGTAGACAGAAGCTGGAGTACTTGGTTTTCTAAGGGTTCGTAGGTACCAGGTTACTGTGTCCCTGCATGTGCCCCAACAGACAGTGCCCCCATTGTATAGAGCAGGCAAGTACAGCCCAGAGATGTTAGGTCACCTGCGCAGGGTGACCCTCTGTCTGCTCCACCAGGACACACACACAGCCTTGGAACTTCCGACTGCCCTGAATGACGGCCGGCTTCCCTGACCAGGGCCCAAGCGTGCTTCCAAGTCACTCTCCTTAAACTGCCCGTGGCCTCATTTGTAGATAAGAAGTGGTTTCTTGTTACACAGCACAGCTAGGATAACCTAGTGTCCACCCTGCCGCCACCTAGAGCTCAAGATGGAACTCAGGGCCTCACACTTGCTAGCCTAGTGCTCCACCACTGAGCTACATCCCCAGCCCTTTTTATTCTTCATTTCGAGACAGGGTCTTGCCCAGTTGCCCAGATGGGTTTTAGACATGGGATCCTCCTGCCTCAGCCTCCTGATTAGTTGAGATTACAGATGAGTACCACCCACACTTACCTCCATGTTTTTTTTTTAACCCCAAATCCAGGGCACATTCATTTTCGGTGCTGGGTTACCCCAGCTGGGCAGTCATAGGGCCGTGGAAGGGACTGGGTTTTCCTGGGGCTGCAAAGGAAACGCACCAAGCTACACAGCAACAGCGGAGGGATTTAGGAGGCTGGAAGAGCCATGGCCGGGTCCTGGTTTGGGAAGAGTCCAGGGCTCTGACTAGGAAACTGTTGGAGTCTCAGTTCCCAAGTAGCTGGAACACTCACCCCTAGAAGGACCCCCAGAGGGAAGAGCAGAGTGATGTAAGCTGATAACGCAGATGATAAACAGGGCCCTGACCCCTGCTGCTGCAGTGCGCTTGCATTTGTGGACAGAGCTTGTTCTCGGCTCCCCTGTGACTTGGGGTGCTGGCGGGCTGAGCTGTACCCCCATGTCTGCGGGACTCCGTGGGAAGACAGTGGTGGAAAGCAGCTGCAAGGGACCAGAGAGACCCCTGCAGTGAGCTGTCCGGGAGGCAGCGCGGTGGGGACCCTGTTTCCCTAGTGACCGGCCTTCCTCCTGTCCCAGCGCAGGTGCCATGTCGCAGCCGTCCGGGGACGCCTGCCAGGTCCCACACAGCAGCAAGGCCTGCCGCCGCCTCTTCGGCCCCGTGGACGGCGAGCAGCTGCGCCGTGACTGCGACGCGCTCATGGCCAGCTGCCTGCTGGAGGCCCGGCAACGGTGGAACTTCGACTTTGTCACCGAGACGCCGCTGGAAGGCAACTTCGTCTGGGAGCCCGTGCGCGGCCTGGGGGTGCCCAAGCTCTACCTGAGCCCAGGCTCCTGCGGCGGCCGAGATGACACAGGAGGGGGCAGGCGGCCCAGCCCCTCAGCTGCCCTGCTGCAGGGGACAGTGGCTCAGGAGGACCACGTGGACCTGTCGCTGTCCTGTACCCTCGTGCCTCGATCCTCTGAGCAGCCCGAGGGGTCCCCGGGGGCTCCCGGAACCTCTCAGAGCCGGAAACGGCGGCAGACCAGCATGACAGGTGAGCATGGGAACAGGGGAGGACACTGGAGGGAACCGGGACCCACAGGCTCCAGGATCTAGGGGCTTGCCCCTTAGACAGCGGGGAAACAGCGCAGAGTGGTCACGTGACCTGCTTGAGGGCACACAGCAAGGCCGCAGCGGAGACCCACTAGCAACGTGCTGGGGGCAAATGACAGGCCAGGCTCTGCAGCTTCTAAGGCGGGTCTTGTTTAGTCCTTACAGCAGCCCTGTGCCGCGGGACAGCCTTGCCACCCTTGAAGAACAAGGGCGCAGGGTTCAGAGAGGTAGTGATTTGTGCAGGTCCCGCAGAGGGTTGCAGAGACCGGTGCTGATCATTTTCAGACTGCCCTACCCAGACTTCGCCCTCCTCCTGTTGCATGTATGTCCTTCCCCTCCCCTCCTCCCTCGACAGCTCCTTACAGGAGAGAGCCCTGTGTCTCTCATCCATTGCCAAATTCCCAGCACCCAGAACAATGTCGGGCACGGAGTAGGTGCTGGATAAAGAATGAATGAAACAGCCGGGCCTGGTGGCGCACGCCTGTAATCCCAGCACTCGGGAGGCTGAGGGAGGCTGAGGCAGGAGGATCGTTGCAAGTTTGAGGCCAGCCTGGCCCACAAAGTGAGCTCAAGGCCAGCCTGAACTGCATAGCAAGACCCTGTCTCAAAAAGACCAAAAAGAAAGAAAAGAAAAAGAAAGCAGACGTTGCTGACATCTGAACACTTTTCATGCTGGATCTTAGACCAGACCCTGGACGGAGAGCATTTCACTGAACCATACAACACTACGCTTCGCAGTCCTCCTTTCATAAGCGAGGAAGCTGAGGCAGAGGGGGAAGGTCCTGGGCTGGGATCTGGTGCTTGTGACGATAACTGCAGCAGTGAACACGTCTATGCACGAGGCACCGTGCAGCACGAGTAGTTGGATCTCACGGGATCCACACGTGTACCGGCCTCGCGATGGCCGGAAGCCCGGGTGCAGAGCCTTGGCTTTGTCTGGCTGCCTGGGCAGCAGTGTGGGGTCCCCGTACACACCGTGGGTGACAAACGGAGGTTCCCCGAGATCCCCACCCGTAGGTGGCAGTGTGTCCCTTTGGTCCCCGGCGGTCTGGGCCGGCCAGGCTGACGCTGTCCTGTTCCCACAGATTTCTACCACTCCAAGCGCCGCCTGGTCTTCTGCAAGAGGAAGCCCTGATCTCCCAGCCGGAAGCTTTGAGCTCCCAGAACCGGGTGGGCCACCGGCCGCGTCCACACCTTCTGCCTTCATCCTCCACTTTGTGCGTCTTAATTATTATTTGTGTTTTAATTTAAGCTCTTCCTCGTGTACATACCTGCCTGTCCCCCATCCCCAACCCAGCCTCTGGCATTAGAATTATTTAAAAAAAGAAATTAGGCAGTAGAATGGTAGGCTCACAGTGCTGGGTATTTTTATGGTATGAAATGTTATTTAAAACCTTCTTCTCCTACGTTCTTTGTCCCCCATCTCCTGTGGACGGCACGGGCTGGCTTCATGCCCGCTGCGCCCTCCTCTACCCTCACCCACCGGGTGGCACTGACCAGAGGGACCCGATTCCCTCCTTCCCTCTGCCCTCCAACTCAGTCCTGAATCCTCAGAACTGAGGAGTACATAGATGATAGCACTTTGAAGGGGACCCAGCCAAGGAGGGACATCATCACAAACGCTGGGGTCTCCTTACCTCCTCTGGAGTTGGGCAGGTGACCATGAAGTGGGCACAGCCGGGGACAGACCCCCACCCTGGCCTCGATGCCCCACTCTGCCCTGTTGAAGATCGGGTCCTGTAGCAGCCCCACTCCCCGACCTGTGTGCCACCCACCCCAGGAAGCCTGGATCCTTTTCTACTTGTTTGGGGCCCCCAGCTGTCCCTTTTCCCAGCTGGATCTCAGGGCCCCTCTGCTGCTCTCCCCTCCCCCAAGTCCTTCATCTCCAGTACCCTGTTGGCTATGAGTGGCAGCTGTGGGCACCTGTCCCTCGACACCGAGATGTAGGGCTCCCCGGTTCTACCTCAGGTAGCACAACAGCAGGCCTCCCCCTTTTAGCCTTGGGGTGAGTCCTGGATGGCCCCATAGAAGTCCCTGTCGCTCTGTGTTAGGCCTGTGGGTGGGAAGCGTGGGTTTATGGGACAGAGACCGCAGCCCTCGGAAGCCATAGGTGATCATCAGCGACCGACTCCATCTGAGCCCTCCGTCCCAGTCTCACTGCACTTTGAGTAGCATCTGAACAAGGGGTCGGACCAAGGTGGCGGCCACGGGACCACGGGAGGCGCCTAGGTGGGCTGACAGGAGCTTGGGGTGGTGGCGGCTCTGTCCCTGCACCGAACGCTGACCTCCTGGAGGCACCAAAGCACTTAGCGGGTCTGACCCCAAATACCCTGCAGCTCCTATAACATCCTGGCTGGGGCTGTATCCCTTTGACTCTCAGGGTGTAACACTGACTATCTCCACCTACACTGTAAGCCTCTCAAGGGCAGGGACCACCCCCGTTCTAATCTGTGTCCTTCACAGCCCTCCCACAGTACTGGGTACACAGCTGGTGCTCAATAAATATCTCCTGATGACTTTGTTTGCAGTATCATCATTGTGGTCATTACACTTTCCTGTCCATTTATAAGGACAAATAGGTGAGTGTTCTGGGAGTTGTTTGCATAGTAAATTTTAAAACTTCAGGAAGCTTAGCAAACAAAGACCTTGCAGCAAAAATCAATAAAAACCAAAATAATCTGTCATCACATCTCTGCAAAGATCATCATCACTTGACGGTAGTGAAATATATTGGCATTGTGGTGACAGGATGTTGACATATCCTGGTTTGTCAGGTAGTCTTTTTTTTTTTTTTTAATAATATATTGTAGTTTAACATCATTACTCATTGGGGAAATGCATATTACAGCCATAATAAACCAAGCAGGGTGGCACACGCCTATAATCTCAGCCATCTGGGAGGCTGACACAGGAGGATCACAAGTTCAAGCCCTAACTAACTGATTTAGTGAGATCCTATCTCAAAAAAGTAAAAAGGGCTGGGGGTGAAGCTCAGTGCAAAGGCCCCTCGGTTCAGTCCCCAGTACCATAAAATGTAAAACCACAAGATACCACTACATGCCTACCAGAATGTATAAAGTGAAAAAGACTGACAATGCTAAGTCTTGGCAAAGATATGGAGCAACTGGAACTCATGTCTCAATTATTTTTTTTTTTTGTGGTGCTGGAGGCTCAACCCAGGGTTTTACATATTCTAGGCAAATACTCTACCACTGAGCTATACCACCAGTTTGTTTCAACTACTTTGGAAAAGTAATAATACCTTCTGAAGATGCTTCTCATACCTGTCCTACAACCCAATAAGTCTGTTCCATGTAAGAATCCTACATAAATGACCTGTCCACCAAAAGATACAAAAAATCTAATATCAACATTATCCCAGACCCAAACTAGAAATAACTGGAATCTCAACCAGAGACTTGGAATTTTTGTTACATTTAGATAGTGGATTATTACACAACACGAAAAATAATCAGGCATGGCAGTGCACCCTCATAATCCCAGCACTCTGAGAGGCTGAGGCAGGAAGTTCCCGAGTTCAAGCGCAACCTATGCAACTTTGTGATTTCCTGAAGCCCTGTCCCAAACTGAAAAATAAAGAAGAAAAGTTGATCTCACTAAACCAGCTTAATGAGAAGACCCTGGGTTGATACCCAGTACCAGAGGAGAGAGAAAGTGATAGGAGATGAAAGAGCGTTTGCTTAGCCTACAAGAGGCCCGGGGTTCGAAAGAGAGCAAAGGACTATTCCATTACAGGCATGGTCTGGTTGTCTATTCATAATTAACCATCCCTGGGCTACACAGTGAGCTCAAGGCCAGCCTGAACTGCATAGCGTGACCCTGTCTAAAAGAAAATACAAAACAAAACAAACTCACCCCAACCCTTAGTGACTTAAACAACAGCCATTGTTTTGGTCCTGAGTCTGCAATTGGACCCAGAGCTACTTTTTAGGTGCTGGTAATTCCTCCACTATGCC